AAGATACTGTGCAGAAAAAAAATTTAACTGTCAGAGGAACACATAAGGTGCTTGCTATCTTTGTGAGGGTTACACACACATACAGCCTCGTTCTGCTCCCGTTTTTTTAAACTGGGCAAAAACTGCATTTTAACCAGCTGACGTTAACAAGCTTTAGATCACTGTTTGAAATGTACACAGAAGAAAACCTGCGTCGCGACTCTAATGCTGCGTTTAAGCAAACGCTAGAGCGTATGGGGCGGCTGGTTTACATAAGTGTAGGTGGATGGCGGCGCTTTACTCGCTCTTAAGGAATGTAACGGTGAGAAAAGACCGAGAGCTTTTTAAATTTTATTTCAGCGGGAAGAATAAATAGATGTGTTCCCCTATGGCTCCTGTAAGTGGTTCCACCAAGTAAAAAAAAAAAATATGTGGATAAGCTAACTTGAGTGACAAAGTGAAAGTAAAAACATGGCGCTCCCGTTGTCAAAGTGAACCTTAACACACCGCTGTCCTCTCCCCCTCATAGTTCCAGAGGACAGAAACAGTTAAATTAGACAGTTACAGTGCCTGTGACATGCCTATCCATCAAATACAAAAAGTCAAAGAAAACACTTTTATATAAGAAACCTTGCATAAAACTTGTGATTTTACCCATTTTGTCACATAAATGGCATATTTTCTTTTGAACTTGGCTCAGCCAAACTGCAACAGGAAGTGACATCAAAGGGGAACTTTTTTAAGAAAGAAAACTCTCTGGTCTTTGTTTATTGAAAGAAAATTATTTAAACTCTTCGTCTTCATCTCTGTCTGATAGAAACTCAAAATAATCTGAAGAAACATCAGATTCTTCTCTGCAGTCTGTCGTTAGCTAATTTATCAATGCTTTGTTCCATGCAGATATTCCCCTTTGACATCACTTCCTGTTGCTTCACATGCAAATATCTCAACAGCTGTTCATCTCAGCAGCGGGAAATTATTTTTGCAATTTGCTAATAATGTTATCTTTCCAATAGTTTTTAAATTTACTTTTAAATTTTCATGTCACAGGCACTTTAAATATTAAAAGTTGTTGTTGGCACTCAGTCTCAGAGGGAGCAGAAATCCATGAGCTCGCGTGAACGAATCGGCCGATACCGATACAAGGAAAAAGGGCAAATATCGGTCGGCTGATGTTTCGGTCCGCCTATAATAATCCTAAAGCTGACGTTTCGTCTCCTTTCTGTCTCGTGGTCCCGCAGTCGCCTGGACAAAGTGCTGGCGATGGTGGTGCGCGAGCGCAAAACTGACCTGGTGGTCATCGAGGGCATGGGCCGAGCCATCCACACCAACTACTACGCCGCGCTCAGCTGCGAGAGCCTSAAGCTGGCGGTGATCAAGAACTCGTGGCTGGCCGACCGGCTGGGAGGGAAGCTCTTCAGCGTGGTCTTCAAGTACGAGGTGCCGGCCGGGAAACCCAGCCGGGACGACGGCGCTCTGACGCCGTGACRAGGCCGGACCTGGATCGGAGGGAGCAGTTTAGGTTGGAGCTCTGAATGTAATGACTCGGATTGTAAATTGCAGTGGGAGGATTTTAGTTCACTTTTTTTTATTTCACTGATTATTTTCTGCTTTTTTTAAACATAAAATTGCTTCCTCTTTATTTTTTGCCGGTTTCTGTCGTCCAATCCGTTTACTCCTGCCGTCACTGCCCGCTGATCACCTTCATCATGTGGAAAAGTCTTCACTGCCGGTGCTCAGTCCTGTTTTACAGCAGCTGAAAGTTATCACTGACATGCTGCCCTCACGACTGTTTTTGCACACTTTTGGAAAGCAGAAATCTCCAGCCGGTGTTTGTTTCTGACCTGGAGAAGAATTAACAACATTAATACAGTCTGCAGATTTTATCCATATCATAAAGTGTATTTAATGTGCCTTACGCCTGATGTGATATATGCATCATTTACTCAGATTGCTTTTAATTCCTCTTAAAAGCAATTACAAAAACATTGTTTTCTTTCACTCTTTTTGATGCAGACTAGAAAAAACATCATATTTTGATCACTGGCATCAGATTAATTAGAGATTATATAATGAATGTTTGTCACTTTTGCGTCAGTTTAGAGCGGAGGGCTTTATCGCAGCAATTAAAGATGGCAGGGTTTTATTCCTCCACAAGGTGGCAGTATTCTACTGTGTAGATTTTATTTTATTTTTTATCTCAAACCTTTCCCAAGGTGCTTGGTGTGAAAATTAATGCTGCATATTTCAGGTCAGATAAGCACTAAAATAGTGACGTGAATCTGTGCATTCACTCCAAATAAACAGATATGTATGATTATACGGCCTTTTTTTATCCCATCAGTCAAAAAAAAAAAAAAACATAAAATACTTGAAGACCATAAAACTGCAGCACTTAGTTGATGTAGTGAAAGAGAACTTGTGAATTTGACTTCAAGGCAGAGTTTAATCAGAAAGTGTTTGACTTCACGTTGCAGTATTAAATCTTTCCTTTGTAAATATGTGATATAAGTGTGTGTATATAAATATATTACATACAATGCATAATCTGTTCACTTCAGCACACCAAGTACAATATTTCTGTATTGTTTTCTTGACAATCAGTTTTAAATAAATTGTAAAAACTTATTTTATCTGTTCCCATTTGTTCATTTGGATTTGTGGTTGTTGTGAGAGGAGTTTTTTTAAAGAAGGAGCATTGCCCTATATTAAAAAGCCAACCTGCTCCTGGCAGAATCAAAGCTCGACAACCTGAAACGAGGAGGTTGATCCCTGCTGAGGAGCTCTGAGTTGATAATGCATGAGGAGACGCAGCAGGGGGTCGTCTTCCTGCTTTTCCTCTCACTTTTCTCTCTTTGCTGAAACACTCAGGAGCAGCACCAAGAACCTGCCCTTTGTGCTTCGCATCACATCTGTTGGCAAATAGTTTTGTTTTTTTGTTTTGTTTCCTGGGGCTGTACTTGGTCCTTCAGCACAATACTCAGATCTGTTTGGATTTGTTCACAAACATCAGTGTGTCCAAACATGGCTGCCTTCAGAAAACAGTTAATCAGTGTGATGGATGCCACAAACCTAGTTTGTCTCATCTTAATGACTTTTTACCATGTATGGAGAACCGACACTGACATAATTTGAAATAAAAGCAGAAATATATAAATGGGCAGATAAAGAAATAAATACACTTAAAATGCACCAAATAAATTAAAAAAGGAGAACCTTACCTTTAAAGTATTTATTTTAGCAACTAATTTACATCTTACTGCTTTTTTTAATATATTTTGTTTTTCTTTTTTACTTCTACATGCATTTGTATCTCCTAAATGATAATATTTAATAATTTTTAAATAATTTTTCCTACAAGTCATTTTATTTCCATGTGTTACTTTTACATTTCTCTGTCTCCTGTATTTATATAAACTTATGCATTTCTGCCTCATTATGCAAATAAGGAGGGTGGAGCTTCTTGGGTCAGCTCCTCTCCTATTGGTCAACAGACAGGAAGGAGCAGGATCCATGTGCAGATCTACTGTGCATGCTTGTGCTGCCTCTGTTTAGCTTAAAGTTTAAAGCAGGGGTGCCCAAACATTTTCCCTGAGGGGGGCCAAAATTAAAATCAATCTGAGGGCCGTGGGCCAAATGCAATAATATAAGAAATGCAAATACTTCTTAAGTAAAGTTGATTTATTTTTTAATAATTAAGCTAGCAGCCAGTGTGGTTGCCCACATTTATTTTTCCTTTCAGCCCATGGCCATGGAGAAAATTTAACTTATGCACAGGCAGCAAAGGCTCATGGGACTTTTTATAATTAAAATTTTGAGTATATGTGGTCTTAGAAGGTGTGCAAATCTAGCTATGGACTTAAATCTAATCTAAATGTCTCTTGTAGTTACTTGTATTTTATACTTAATTTTAACATAATTACAATCTAAWAACCAGGACAACTGCTGGTGGGCCAAATCAAATGGCTTGGCGGGACAATTTTGGCCCGCGGGCCCCACTTTGGGCACCTCTGGTTCAAAGTTTAGTTAAAATAAAAGCACATGTAAGTGTTTTTCCTCCTTACCTTTGTTTTAAACTGAAGTTTAAGCTAAGCTGAGGCAGCACAAGCATGCACAGTAGATCTGCACATGGATCCTGCTGCTTCCTGTCTGTTGACCAATAGGAGAGGAGCTTATCCAGGAAGCCCCGCCCACCTCATTGGCACAATGAGGCAGAAATGCACAAAGAAATGTAAAAAGAGGAGACAGAAAAATGTAAAAGCAACACATGGAAATAAAATGACTTGCAGGAAAAATTATACAAAAAATAATTAAATATAATCATTTAAGAGACACAAATGCATGTAAAATTCAAAAGAAAAACTTTTAAAAACATTAAAATGTAAATTATTTGCTAAAATCTATAAAGTTCTACCTTTTCTGTGTATTTTAAGTGTATTTATTTATTGGTCCATTTATATATTTCTGCTTTTATTTCTTATTATGTCTGATTCTGTCTTCCATAATGATGTTGCAAACATTTGGTTATTAGAAGGGGCCTAAAAGTGTTGCACAGATTAAATATAAAAGCTTAAAAGATTTACCTGCAAACCATATTTATGTCATTTTTCCTTCAGCAGGGAGTTTTTTTATGATAAGCTTTCCTCCTCGAATGGCGAGACACAAAGACGTGTTTTCTGCAGCTGCAGTGGCTCAGACTATTGTCTGCATGTTTCTGTTATTATTATTTTTCTCTTTTCACCGTATAACTTTCTAATTATAGACAGGGCTCAAACACAGAGACCGCTGGCCCGGAGAAAACAGTGCAGCATTGACTGCAACTGTTTGCACAACACTAATTATGGTAGTTACCATAAACAAAGATTTCAAAAGGGGGTTTTTTTAGCGATGGTTTTAACCTTTTGTCACTTGGACCAGGCGTGCCCCCAAAGAGGGTTGTCAGGGGGGTCACCATCCATCCCCCAATAAAGAGAAGGCTTCTTTCCATTTTTTATAAATACCATTTTAGTCAAATATTTATAACAACTGCTAACTTAAATGTAAAGAAGTGTACACTTTGTTGTTTTCAGTGTGTTTTCACAGATTGAACTATCTCTGAAAGTGAAACATTATAAAACAAACCGGGACCTTTTTGCTTTTGTAGCAAAGAAAACTGAAATCACCTGAAGCTGCTGATCCATCCTTGATGCTGCAGGTAAATCTAGAAGTATGACATGTTCATACCAGTTTTCCCCTTTATTTTCTCTCTGTAAATGTGTCACCAACTCCCATAATGATCTCTAAAGAAGCCTTTTTTAGTCTCAGAACTGCAGGGGTCCTCTATAAATGCCACCTCCTTCTCTGCATAGCTTTTCTCAGATGTGTCTGGCATAAACTCTATTTAATAAGAGATATAACTTCAAGCTAAAAAAAATATTTTCTTCCTGCTCTGCCTTTCATTAAAGAAGTCAAACGAGGCAGGCAGATTTTCTGTGTGTGCTTAAGATGTTTGTGGTGAGCACAAATAAAAGCTTTTCTGCACAGATTATACGTTTTTCCTGTCAAAGAAAACTGGATTTTTCTGAAAGTAAGATGTTATTATGCTCCATATTCAAGGCTTTCAGATTATTTGTAATCTTCCTCAGGCAGACTCAGACCCTCTGTGTTCCACCCACTTTCTTTGTGACATGTTCACTTCTTTTATTAAAGCTAACAAGCACATTTTTCACAAAGCAAACTAACAGACTACATTTCTAAATGTCACCCAGTTCCCTGAAGTGATTTATAATCATTCAGCATTAAATCTGCCACACTGGAGACTCTGCAGTCTGCAGGCTAATCCAAAACCATGAAACTGAAATGAGCGTTTTTCTGGATAAATAGCTACTCCAATCAGAAAATAATAATAATAATAACAAAGAAAACAACATAAAGACTGAAGTTGTGCTCGTGTTCATTCTTTCTTCTACTTTTGAGCTCCTTTCAGCCGCAGCTCAAACTTTAATGAGACGCCATCCAGTCCTGCCGCTGACGCGCACTCACTCGTGAGCGCGCACAGGGAGCTGGAGTCTCCATAAGAGGGAGGAGAGAGTCCGGATGCACATCATCATCCCCGGAGCGGAGCTCAAAGCTTTGGGGGTTCTGCCTGGACCCACATGAACCAGCTGCTGCTTGAAACCGAACCCGAATCTCAGGAAGAAGAAGAAGAAAAAAAAACTGCGACAAACAGACTTAAAGTAAGAAATGATGCTCCTGCAGTGCTTGTGTGTTTACCTGTCTGCGTTATTAAGTGTTCCTGCGATGTTTCTGTGAGGCTCCAACACCTTGCAGAGAGTTTGAGGCAAATTATGGATTATTTAAATTATTCAATAGTCCAGTGCGTGCCAAAGTGAAATAGTCTGTAATTTTATGCAACTGAATCCAGACTGTTCCGGTCTGCACCAAAGTGATTGTTGTGCGTAAAAACGCACCGTTTTTATTTTCATCGATGCCAAAACCTTTTAGACCTTTTTGTTTCTCTGATTATAAAAAACTTAGATATCAAACTGTTTTATTTATTACCTTATTACCACTGTGGAGCAGGACTACAGATCTAATATTGTCTCATAAATAGATAATAGAACAGTTTACCTAAAAAAAAGCAATAATTTGGAAAACTATTGAAGCAGGCTCACTGATCAAATGCYGTATTTTTACTCATTTGTGTAAATGTAACTGTGTACAAATGCTCACCATGTTGCCAATATTTAACATAACATAAGTATGTTTTTTTTTTCATTTGTACCTAATGGTTTATTATTGGTTTATGAAGTGTTTAAACTACATTAAAAATTAGTTATTTATCCAGGGATGCTTTTTTTCCTAAACATTAAATGAAGATAAACAGAAACCAACTTTGTAGTGTCACTTTAAATTAGTGTAACTTTAAGACATTTGGAAAATAAATGACGAGAGATGATCTTTTTCAGTTCATTGTTGTCCTGCACCTCAGASTGTGGAAGTGTTTGTGTGTTTGCATATAAGCAAGTGAAAATAGGCTTTTTTTCTATAGATTTTAAGGGTTAATGTTGAATCGATTAGATGTGATAGACATGTTTAAAAGGAGAAGAGATGAAGAGGAACTGACAGCAAAAATCTGATTAACAAATGGAGGAAAATAAAACAGAACTCAAGGACACGCTGCCGATCAAGGTTTGTTAGTTTTCAGGGGGGTTTACATAAAGATGCATCTTGTTGCTGCAGAAGATTCATTTGAATGTGGCCGTTCTACTGGTTTCTTTATTTCCTCTAATCTAAATGAGATAATTGCCAAACACCCAGCTCTTTTTTTTTTATCCACGATGGTGTGAAACTTGTTACAAATGCTGCCAAGCATGGCAGCATCTGTTTGATCAGAGCTGGCACTCAGTCAGAGGCACTCAGTGCCACAAAATGGGGGGGAAACAGAGAGAGAGAGAGAAAAAAAAACTTTGGGTTCATATAATTAGTTTGCATGCTTCACTTAATGATGGAAACAGAAGTGGTTTCCCCCCTGCTGGCGGCTCAAACTGTTCCCATGTGGACTGTCTACACCCACACCCAGGTGTCCACAGCTCGGGGGTCAGCAGAGGGCAGGTTTTGTTGCCGGTTGCAGCAGCCAAAGCTTTGTTGTGTTCGAGGGGCTTCAGCTGGTGTTTATATATCTGTCAGGAATTAATAGATGCTCCCATTTATAATCTAGACACGACAACAAAAACTTTGATTCCTATGTTTTTCCCCTCTCCTTGTCCTTTCTCTCAGCTTTACGCCTGGTTTTCTAATTTTCTCCCAGTTTCATCCTCCCTTTTTTTTTTGTCTTAGCTCCTCTCAGTGGGACGCCTCTTGCCGGGCTTCTTGGTTGCAGATTGTGTGTCTCATAGCACTTTTAAAAACACGCCTCTGTGTGGGTGTCTGATGGAGGTCCCCCCACCCTCCTGCTGCGAGCGTGCATTTGTGTGCAAGGCAGAGCGAAAGTGTCGCTGCGCTCAAACCAAATTGTCACAAGATGCTGCTGATGTTGACCCTGCCTCAGACACAATGTTCTGCTCTCGTCCCACATCTGCTGCGCCAGCGTCGGAAATTACCACCGAGTCGTTCCTTATCTGCTCCGGTTCGCTTGCTGACAGATGGACCTACCTTATGGCTCTTTCTTTTTTCTTCATATCACCCTGCGCTGCTTTCAGGGGCCTTCGTCATGCAAACGCACACCTAAAAAGGCTGCGAAAATCCCCCTCCAGCACCTATAAATGTGTGAATCCCACCAAGGCTGTTTGTGGAGGATTTGTGAGACAAAAGCACTTGTATAACGCTGAAATCGGTGGTGTTAGCCCTCTGAGGAAATAAAGTTTTTATGACGTTAGCTGCAGCTTGGCAGACGTGTTTAACGTGCACACAGCTGCAATCAGTGGCTGTTTTTGAGATCAGATTTAGGCCTATTTAGGGACAACAAGTAGATTTATTTTATCCGAGATAAGCGACGATAAATAAAGTGTTGATACATCAAACATTGATGTGTTACATTAGGAAAGCTTGGTTATATTTGTGGAATAACAGACACTGTGATATTCYCTGTGATAAGGACACTTTTGTTACATCTCATTCAAACAATGATTCATTTTTTTGCAAAAAGCCATTTGTTTATCCTCTATCTGCACATCTTAAGTTTATGATTATAAGGTGGTTATTTTACAAAGACGTCATCAAGCTTTTCTTCAGCTGTTCAGCTTATTTAAAAAGCACAAACAGCCACTGGGTAGACTGTGTGCACCAGACTGAACACAGAAAACAAAGGTAGGAGCTGCAGAGTTCAGAGAGAAGATTATAGATATCCATATGAAAGGTAAAGGCTCATAGAGCATCTTAAAGCAGCTTCTTGTTCCTCTGAAGCTGCTAATATTAAAAAAAAGTAAAAGATTCATGCAGCTGTAACCAAGGACGCAAGATATAATGCCACCCCAGTTTGATCAGACACCATCTGCCACATTTTAAATCATAATGGGCTCCGATGGCTCCACTAGATTAAAAAAAACTCAAAAAGCCTGACAGAAATTTGTGGAAATGAACATTGCTCTAAAGTTTCACTGATGAGACAAAACTGGAGCTTTTGGCTCTGGTCTCAACAGTTTCTCTTTTGTATTAATATTTTGAAAGAGTTTAAGTCTGCTTGGAAAAAAAGAAATGAAACATAAAGCAGAAAACCTGAGTTTAAACTAGTGTTTCCTCAACTAGACTGACTTTTTTTTTTAGCATTTTTTTCTCCTCAAATCTCTGCGTGTGCGTAAAAGGAAARCAAGTCCTGTAGGTGATCTGTGTTCGACATGACGGCTCTCCTTGAACAGTCTGTTCCTCCAGTCTTTGTTTGCGGGATCCTTATGGCCCCGCTGTTTGCTCGGAGAGATAAAAACAACAAGAGCAGATGGCTCCTGGAGGTCTGGTGTCACAGCAGGTGAAGCTGAAAAGATGCACGCGTGCAGCAGTTTAATACCAGGGTCGCCTCGCGTTCCGCCTCGCTGCTTCTCCCTCTTCCGGCCTTCCTCTTTGCAGCCGCAGATCTGGGTTCGGTTAAGTATATTCATTTAACGAGTCTGTCACCGAAGCGCCACATCGCTTAAGGGACTGACCAGTTGATCACAGACTGGAGAGGGGTCTCTGATCTCATCAGAGCTTAATCATCCCGCACTCCAGTAGTGCCTGGATTGCAATTTGTTGCGAGATTACCAATCATTTTATACTTACACACTCCACTCTGATTCATATCTCCCGGGTGGCCGCCTCGCACCGAGAGCTGTGCTTATAAAAACTCCTTCCACTCGCGCTCATACATATAAATTCTGTTTTCCTGCAATTGTAAACTGTTACCATGCAACTTCAAGCTTTCCACTCTGGCTTCCTAGAAATACAGAATTGATTTTTAGGATTTTATTACGTTTTATATTGCGCATTTATATTACACAATTCCCCCCCCCCAACACACTGCTGAGTTCAAAAACTCAAAAATAAATAAATAAATAAATAAGCATCTTCTGAAGCATAGATTCTTGTCAGAAAAGCACACAGAGGTCAAAGATGTTTAAATAACGTAGGTCACCTCTAAACTCTATTTGTGAGCTTGAATTTCAGTTCATTTTAGTTTATTTATATAGTCACAACAAACGTGGTCTCAGAGCACTGGACACAAAAACAATGAACGTCATGCAAGAACATGTTCGTATTTTTATCCTAAATTTCTCTTGCTTTTGTTCGTACGAAGGGTTCGTACGGACATGTCACGTCAGATTCAACAAACTCTTCAATCTTTAGGAAAGGTGTGTAAGTGAGGAGCGTAAACTGATGAATGTGTATCAAGTGCTTGCGCACGAGGAGAGGAGATTAGCATAATCACACCCAAAAAACACCATATAAGGATATACGTTTCCTGCCCCACATTCCAGGAAGTGTCCATTCATAAATGACATCGAAAAGTAGAAAAAGAAGAACTTTACGAGTTCAGAGATTGAAGTTCTGCTCTCGGAGATCCAGAAAAAAAGTCATTTTTAGCAGCGTCAGCTGTGGAATTAAAGGATCTGCTTTAAAGCAGAGGAATGAAATGACGACTGCTGTTAATGTCGTGTCTCCTGTCACAGAAATAAAAATCTAAATCATATTTATCTCTCGCTGTAGTCCTGCTCTGGTTTTATTTTGGTCAAATATTTTTAATTTCAGTGTAAACAACTGCGTTACATAGGTTTCATTTATTCAGAAGAGCAGTCGAGCACCCCCGTTGCAAGTGTCAGATGTGTTTCTGAAAAAAAAAGCATTTAAAATGTCTTAAAACTTCACTTAACTTCCTATTAATCTTGTAGTGCTATACAATTAAATTAATAGCCAATTTATTTTAATTTAACCAATTTATGTCTTTAGTTACATTATCATGTTTAAAATAAACAGAACAGCCTATTGTCAGCATAATTATAGAGTGTGATTTATTTTCAACTCAAAATATCTTCAAAATAATGAAATATAAAGTTATTAGTGAAGAAAATCTGTCTGGATAACAGCAGACTGACTGCTCGTAAAATACACGACAGGTCTGGTCCACATGTGAATTTTGTTCGTATCTGGAGAAAATCTTAGAATATGAAAAAATTAGTGAATGCCACAAATTCTCCTAAATCACTCGTACGCACAACTTAAGAACAAATCTGTGCGTACGAACGGTTCTTGCACGAGGCCCAATAAA